CAATTGAACTGAGTTTGAATGGAGTCATAACAAGTCTACAATACTGAGCTGGAAGACTCTGTGGACAGAAGCTGTTCAATAGGCTGACCTCCCCACACTCACTCATTTTCTTTTCTATACAACACAACCTACAGATTAAACTAAACATGTGAGCTTACATACTTTTGGGGTCATGGTGAATAAAGAGATCTTAGCAAAAGGTTAGAAAAGACATTACAAGATTTATAGAACATTATAGAGGCGTTGGTTCTTCAATACAGACCATTCATCCTCACGTTGATTTGTATGCATGTCTCTGTACAGTGGAAAACAAACTGAAATACCTATGAGAAAGTAAGACGGCAATGATCAGTTATCTTTAGGAATTTCAAGCTGAATTGCCAGCTTTTTTCTTATGAATTAGTACATAAAGTGTGTCATAATAGCTACAGGAGCGACGAGACACAATTCCCACAAAAAGATGAGATATAAGATTGGGTCCACGAGAATGAGGCAAAATGAGATTTTGACACAATTTGTAGTAAGTAAATTGTAAAATCCAGTTCACATAAAATACATTTTTATGGATTTTATTTTTGTTGCTGATGTCATTATATCACTGTGTTTTGGAACTACAGCTTCTCAAGGAAGTGTAACTTACAAGTGGATATTGTTTTCTGTCCAAACCAAATGTAAATGAAGATGAAAAAAAAAAAAAAAAAAATCTCACAAGATAATTTTCCTCATGCATGTGAAATCTTGTCTTATTCTGAGCAACAGCAGAACTTCTGACAAAAAACAGACCACTCCACACTGTCTTTATCTTATTCTGAAACCTTTTTCAAATCAGCCTTTTGAGGTCCCCCTGTTTCACTTTTCCATCTGAAAAAAACCTGTTCTGGAGCTGTAGTGGCCAAAAACTTAAAGCATGTGCATAGTAGCAATACATTTTTGTGAACATTTTGAGAGTTAGTTATTTTACAGTTTGAACATCAAATATCCAATCTTTAAGTCACAGTGTCACAATATGGCAGTTTAAAACACTATCTTGCTATTAAAGTGAATCAGATTTTTATGTTTTTTTTTTGTTTGTTTGTTTGTTTTTATTATTACCTTATTAAGTGGGAGAGTACTTGTAGCAAATTGTTATCATAGTAAGCAAGTTGAGGCCCACCACAGTACATGTTGGGCCACCGCAATCACTGCACCTGACCAACGTGACCCTACCCAGAGTCCTGCACAGGTCCATTTTTAGAGCCCCGCACCCTCCCTGACCCGTTAACATTCCACCCGTTACCACCTGTGCCCGTCATAACCCAGGACTAACCCAGGACTAATCCAGGACTAACCCAGGACTAATCCAGGACTAACCCAGAACTAATCCAGGACTAAGATGCACCCACATAGACCATTGGGTGACCACAGGCGAAAGGACTGGCGTAGAGCTCCACGCTGCATGGAAGTAAGTGCGCCCGTCACCCGATTGTGCTTTGCAGACACCTGCTCCGCGGGCTCAGTGTTCTCTCTTTTAAGTCCACGGATACCAGACCTGGTGCAGGGCTCTGACCCAAGGTGCCACAGTGAGAGCTGGAGAGATGCAGTGGCACTTGTTCCAAAGCCAAATGTTACTTCTCCCACACTACACACACTATATCCATGCAACAACCAAGATACATGTGCATCTGCACAACAAGCAAATCATTGGAGAGAGTTTTCAGTGCTGCTGGAAATATAGTAATTCTGGGGGATGAGGGATGGGGGGTGGGAGGTGGGAGAGGGTGTCTGATGTCATCGCATAGCGCGGTGTTGAGCCGCTGCACCTCACCTAGCAGTGAGTTCTAAAATGAAATGCCATCAACACTCAAACTTCTATCCAAAATGCAGGGACAAAAGGCACAAGGAAGGTATTTTTCTAACATGGCAGTATAAAGGTGTGTTGTTGGTTATTAGGTAACAGTTATGGGCGTACCTCTACTAATGTCACATCTGTCCAAAAAAACAAAACATTTTTTATTCAAATCTTAAATATAATTAAGTTAACTATGTTTTATTGAAATGAATTGTGTAACTGAAAAAGGTCCGATACTTGATATCAATTTTGATTTATAAAAAAAAAAAAAAAAAAAAGTATATGTATGGATACTTCATAGGAGTGTCTGTAGTTTAAATACCAGTTCCAGTACTGATTCGTTTCCAGGCATCAACATTTCTGCGTTTTCATGCGTTCTTATCTAAATACCACACCTTGCCCAAGCCCTATTCAAACTCTATTCACAAAGAAGATAAAAATGCAATAAAAAGGCAGATAATTTGTCTGAACTAGAAACATGTGGCCAGTCTAACACCAGCCCAAATGAACACCAGTGAGAATTGCCTGAGCTGTAATCACCACAGATGGGTAATTACCAATATGCGACTTTGATCAAACTACAGCCCCACTGCGAATCACTTTAGTAATCGAAACAAACTCATTCCCCTATTAGCGACTATCATTCCAAACCCCGTCATTTTGAGTCTCACATTTGTGGCAGTTTTTGGATGTTTTTTTTCTTCCTGCCCGGGGATGAATCACGCTCTCCAAGCACAATGGATTTCCTGTGCTGCATGTGAACCAGAAAGCCTCCAGCTGTTGCAGTACTGTGGCCATTGGCGTCTCCCTTTTGTGCCACTAAGAGCTCATCAGCAATCACCATAACCCCCAGTCATTAGCCCACCCCAGCCTGCACAAGGAGGGAGAGAGAGGGATGGAGGGATGAAGGAAGAGAGAGAGGGGGGCAAACTTCACGGGTTTGTTTCTGCCAGAGCCCACAACAAACTGGTGGCATGGAGAGTCGGGAGAAAATGTGCACTCTAAAAAATCACTGAAACATTTGGATTCAAAGGGCATGTTACGCTTTTTTCTGATCTGTGTTATAATGTTGTTTCCTCATCACAAACAGACCTGAAGTTTAATTTAGTAACACACAAACTCTGCATATTTAGGGTGAGTTTGTCTCTCAGAAAACATACTGTTACACCTAGTGATGTCATGTGATGATACAGGAAGTGGGTTTTTTTTTTTTTTTTTTCTATAAAGATTTATGTAAACATAGATAGATGGATAAATGGATAAAGCTGTATGTGTGTGTGTATGTGTATATGTGTGTATGTATGTATGTGTGTATGTATGTATGTATGTATGTATGTATGTATGTATATTACATACACACATGCATGCATACACACATACATACATACACACATACATACATACACACATACATACATACACACATGCACATACACACACATGCACATACACACACACATGCATACATACATACATACACACACACACATACATATACACACATACATACATATACACACACGCATACATGAATACACACATACACGCACAAATACAGTACATACATACATACATACGTACACACACATTCATACATACATACACACACGCACACATACACACACACACACACACTATACACTCTATACTCTACTCTACTCTATACATACACTGTGGGTGGTGTCACAAGTGTCATTTGTTCATGGATGATGTTTGAAGTGGTAAGTATCTGATTGGTGGGTGAACACTTGGCCCACTGAGCCACATTTGTAATTATTTTGAATTACATGAAATCGTCTCCTTCATGAGCTGACAGACGTGGCACAGAATAGTTAGAGTCACACCTGAGTAGAATAGTGAACTTTCACAGCGTGACACATTTTTCATTTAATCGGCCCAAAAAGTGTCAACTGGATAAGGAGCTGAACTCTATTACAATTATCCAGCATTAGAAGTTCATCTTTTTTAGTGTGTGCATATTCAAAAGCTCAGTTGGTAGAGCATTTATCCACTGATCTGACAGTTGGTGGTTCTGTTCGCAACATAAACATCATTGGTTGAGCAGTCAGATCCACTGACACACAGGTTGTTGGTGCGATTCCAGCTCCCACACATGAATGCTGTCATTGTGTCCTTAGGCAACACACTGTACCCACCTGAAGAGGCGACTGGTTCCAGAGCTTTGAGTGGCATGAAGGTTGAAAAGTGTCACATAAAAATGATACTCTTTATTATGGATATTACATATTAGAATTATTTTAAGGTAGTTTTTCACGGTATTTTGGCACAAACGTTTTTATATAGTTTCTTTAACATGTAATTTAACATGGCTAATTAAGTGGGCATTTAAAAAGTACAGTCTACTTTGATCATCACGTTATATTTTTGGCAGCTATTTATTTATCTTATATTTCGAACATGAAATTTGCATGCGAGCTCTTGTCCTTACAACTTCAGCTTGATCATTATGCTTTCCCTTCATTTTCAACTATTAAATATTAAATTGTGTGTGTGTTGCGTTTTTGCCCCATCCAGACTAAGCCCGGAGCGCGCGGGGAAGTGCCATGTGACCTGCGTGGATGCGCACGGGTCGAGACGTGTTTAACAGCACAAATCCTGTTCCTGAGCGGGCTGCTGAATACTTTATTGGCGTTTAATAAGTCATAAAATCTCCCAGCCTTGACACTGCGCTTAATTGGAAGCGTATTAATATGTTCCAATTATAACGATCCCCTGTTGAGAATAGAACCATCTCTCCCAAACAGGCTTTTCGCAGGTAAAAAAGAGCGCTTCATTTGTTAAACGAGGACACTTATTTCCTCTGAAGGGCGGGTGTGTGTGTGTGATCCCATCAGCGCTGGGGCACACGTGGAATGAAAGGGAAGAGTGAATTAGCGCCGGGCAAAACACAGGCACAGCAGTCGCAACAATTTCTCTCTCATTCGCTCCTCGGCTCCTCCCTCTCCGCCGCGCTCATCTGATCAAATCCTTCAACTTGGTCCGTTTAGACTCGGGCTCACTTTTAACAACACCGCATTTGGGCAACGTCTCAACTTGCAGCAGCAGAATAGTGGAGACGACAGGAAAAGACGAGCGTCACCAGATACACCAGCGTACAAAGACTTTAAAGAAGCAAAAAGCGAAGTGGTTGGTTTTGTGTTTTGGTGTGCAGCAGACATGGAGTGGAGGGTCAAATCGAACCCGAAGTGGCACCATAACGCGCTTTGGTTTTCCATCCTCGTGGCGCTGGCTCTGCTCCACGCGACCAAATCGGACATAACTTGCAGGTCGTGTCAATCCGGACATATGTGGCGACCTAAGGAATTACTGGTGCGTTTTGACTCGAGCGGAGAAGTTTTGGCACGGAGCGGCAGAAGCGCGGAAACACCTGCCCAAAGTGTCCATTGCGCGAGCGGCGAATGCGCGAAGAAGCGGAATACAGGCAAGCCGCTGCTGGAGTTTAGCGGAGAGAAAGTTGCAAATGCTGATTTTAAAGTGAGCGGGACCAAAGGAGAGATGGAAGATTCGGACAGCGGGACAGGACGCAGAGTGAGACGGTCGGAGCTGCGCTGGAGCGGAGAGGAACGCAGAGGCGCAGCGGTGCCGAGGCAAGACGAGCTCAAACTGAACAGCTCTACCTTCGCCCTGTCCGGAGACTCCTCACACAACCAGGCCATGGTCCACTGGTCCGGGCAGAACAGCAGCGTAAGTCACCCCCCCTCCCAATTCACTCTGTCCACTCTGAAGCGCTCACTGTCTAATGCAGCGGTTTGGGGACAAGTCATACCCGTTCTTACCCGTATCCCTGCTTCACAACACAGTTACAACATCAAGCACATAGCCTGTAATTACCACAAGCACAAAACTATACATGAAGTAGACAGCAAGTTGTCAACTTTCTAACAACACTTCGATTTTTAAGTGTTTAAACGTGCAAACCCAACAGCTACCCACGTTGTTGCGGAGGAATGGCATTGTCTGTGCACGAGCCAGAAGCTTCTTTATACGTGACCTTAATGAGTTTCATCATTATTAACTACATTGATAACATGTCTACACATAAAGAAATGATTTAATTTAGAAAAAAAAAAATGTATATATGCTTGTTTTTACCATCGATTTTTAATAATTTAATAATTTGTTTTTGCTGTTTTCATTGACCAAATTCAGTTTATTACAACCGTTTCTGTTTCTGTTTTTCTATTCTTTTATCACTTGGGGGCATTAAATGGAATTTGTCATCATACTCATCCAGTGGTGGTTATGCAGTGTTGTTTTTTTTTTTCACATATTTTTTTCTGCTGGGTGCAAGAATTATTCGATGATTTGCGAATTTTATGTTTTAATAATTTAGAAGGATTCTGCTGAAAGTTCACATTGTAAACGCGTCCAGAAGAATTGACAGCAAAGACTGAAATATGAACCAAGAATATTTGCACAGATGGCAGATTGCTACAGGGTTAGCAGTTTTATGCATAATAAGAAGAATATTTTGTTTGTGGAAGAAATTGGTATTTGAAAAATGGTAACCGATTTGCAAATTTTGTCGATTTGAGCTGCAACTTTGATTCGATTGTGATTCATCTTGTACATTTAGGTCTATAATTTCACATGATAATTCATTTTTAGCCTGTTCAATAAAGGGGCATTTGTTGTATCCTAGAATAATATAAATATCTGACCTTGCTCTGGTTCAGTATCGGGGGTAGGACTTTTGAGTGAGCCGCTAAAGGTTGTTCAAGAGGTCAGACTATTCTTGTAATGCCTCTTTCCTTCCTCCAATGCGTGCACCAAGATTACAGAGGCGGGAGATGGAGAGGGAGAACGCATTACCTCCTGCACTTTACAAATAATTTAGTTTTAAGTTGAAAAGCTGAAAACATGGCGTGTCAAATGGCATGTTCTTTGTCAGTTTACCTTGGCAAATTGGTGATTGACTGGCACTGGTAAAACATACACAATTTACATATTAGTACAGCTACTCGAAATTGCAGTTGGTAGTAATTTGAAGAGTTTGATGTAATTCTTGTTGGCAGTAACTACTAAGGCTGTGCAAAAATATCGAAATACTAAAAATAATACGATATGAAAATCTCTTGGTAGGATATTTTCACGATATACATCTCATGATACGATATTTATTGTGATATTTTTTGGAGGCTAATGAAATTGTGAATATGCTGCATTTTTGTTGTAAAATGCCTTGGCACGCATTTGGTTCTGTCATAATCGAAGAGTAAAGATTTAAAAGTGCTTAGAGCGGAACAAAGGATCACGATCTATGTAGTTGTCCATGATATTATTGTGAGACTGATGATACGATATTATGATATTTTGGTTATTGTTACATCCCTAATGATGAATTTAGTGACACAGTACTGTACAATACCGTTATAGTGGACTGCTGTATATATCGTCAGGAGTATTTTTATTTCTTTATTTATTTTTGCTTATTTAGTGGAAGGAAATATATTTATGCACCTGAGATATTCACTGTTTTGAAGATTTAATTAAATGTATTTCATATTCACTTTGCACAAGTAGTGATTTAACAACATTTTCAATGCAATTTATAACAGAGTATCATGTGCAATATATCGATTATCACATGTATCGCCATAATATCGTATTGTGAGCCATGTTTTGAGTATCGTATCGAATTGTGTGGGACCCTGTGATACCCAGCCCAAGTAACTACATACTACATACGTACTAATGTGTGAACCAATCTCAAAGAGTGCACCTTGGTCTTGGCTACCTGTTACTTCAGTTTCAGAATTGATATAAAAACTAGGCCTGTCACGATATACAAGCCTGACTCATCAGCTGGTTTCACTTCGTGGAAACGCAGCATTAGGATTTGTTCGCTTGATGGTAGGCGGGTACTTTTTTCATTTAACCAATCGCTGCTATTTGGTTGTGACGTATGTAATCCGCCGGTAAAGGGGCTAACTGGTATATTAAGCTTTTCCCAAATCCCGTAGGAAGAAGGGCAATGTCTTTCCCCTTGATAAAATTCACTCAACATTCTCTTTGTTCCGGCTTTAAATCTTTGATCTCAGGAATCATTGCCAAGGCAGAATGTATGACTTCGTCTGCATCCATCTCAACCGCTTTGTTTAATGTTGTGCTGTACCACAAAAAGAACACAGTCTTGGCTTCACAGCTCTTCACTGATTGGTCGATGCACAATCTACAACGTCTGGGGGTCTTGCAAACCATCTAGTGTATTGCGATTCTTGACCTAGTCGCTGGAGAGAAATTTAATTGAGCAGAGGCACTAGGTGGCACCATCCTGGCTACTGTATATACTCGTATACGATAATAATTATAAAATACAGTCTGATTAAAGACCATGAGCAGCAAAAAAAAACAGAATTACCCCATAGAAGGCACTTATTGAAAAATTAACAGATCAAATCTTATCTCATTACAACAAAAATACACAAAATCTTCAAATTTTTACAAAGACTTTAACAACAGTAAATATGAAGCCTCAAAATATATAGTTCCAGCTTTTATATATTGAATGATCAGTTGATATAGTAATTACGATGACAGGTCTATATAAAACAATAATAATACCAACATATTTTACTATTCTGATACCAGAGGGGTCTATATATTTTACGTGGGCTCTACTACATGACAATGACATGGTCTCTAATACCAGCATCGGCATAATTTTAAAGGTGCTATATGTACATTTTCTAATTGAGAGTCCACTCCGCCACTGACATATCTTAGTGATGTTATTTGAATGTTTCAGAGTATGGCATTAAATATATCTATTTCCATGCAGAGAAGCAAATGGAGCCACTGGGCCAATTTACATGTTCAACTTGCAATGTATGCTTTAATAAGAAAAACACCTGTAAGTTAACAAATAACTTCAAGATGTTTAAGGACATACTATAGAACATTCCAGGCAAAGCAAAAAAAAAAAAAAAAAGCAAGTAGCAGACATTTTACACTGCTGGTATGATTGTTACTGAGGAAAAAGAAAGTAAATTATCCATGACTCCTTAATTGTGAATCACATCTTGCTTTCCTCTTCAATAATAATTTTGAGCTGTTAAGGCCATTGCACTTTCCAAATCAATTTTGTGAAGTGTTTTGTTGCTGGGGACCTTAAGTGCATTTTTTTTTTTTAGGGTTGAGAGTATGCCGCCTGTTGTCTCCTTTAGAAGTGTAATCATTTTGTTACACAATATAGCATTCAATTTATCCATCTAGCAATTATTCAATATCAGGTGTTGTAACTGCTTCAAAATAAATTGGGAAACATGAATTTTCACTGTGACCAAGTTTGCTTCTCCACAGATCTGACTTGTAACTTGGCCTGGTGGAGTCACATGCCCCACATAAAAAAGTTTAATGCCAAACTGTGGAACATTCCAGGCAAAATTATCTGACACGAGCAGTTGGCACACAATTACAATGGTATACCAGAAAGTTACACAGTGCACCTTTACTGTTTCTCTATGTCCACTATTGCTTTGTATATTACATATTTTCACAAACCGATGAATAAGATTTCATATTGTTTTGTTTTTCTTTTTGGAGACATAAGAGAGAAAACCAGTGAATACTTTGTCTCATGTTGAATCAATGCAAAAACATGTATCCGTGGTGATAATCTTCGCTGCAATGTTTCAGACGCTTGCTTTAAATTTTAATTAACACTGGTAGAAGAAAGCTTTGTGGAAGAAGAAAGTGAATTGATAGCACGCCTCTGTCTTTTCTTTTGAGTTAAAATGCAATTAGTATGGACCAGGAGCACATACCATTTTACTGCTGTCACAATATAAGGAATGCTTATATTGTTTTATCTATACTTGAGGATGCACTGAAAATACATTCTCAAGACAATTGTTGATTGAGGAAAAGGGCATGTTTTATTCATAGGGACTAGTAGGGCGACAGGGGCTAGGCTGTTGAGGTGTGCATATACTGTTGTCGTCGTTGTCGTTGTTTTTGGCAATACACTTCAAACATCAGAAATTAATGAATTAATTTAGTTGTTATATGATTGCAATTTGTTACAGTTCTGAACTTTAGTTGTAGCGAAGCTGGTGCCACCTAGTGCCTCCTCTCAACTTCACTTCTCTCCAGAACTAGATGGTTTGCAAGAACCCCGGAAGTGCGACTCCGGGTACCAGCCAATCTGCGAAGAGCCATACATTCTATGTTGGCGTTGGCCACCATTCCCGAGATCGAGGATTTAAAGCCAGAACAAAGAGAATGTTTGGTGAATTTTATCAAGGGGAAAGGTTATTGCCCTTCTTCCGACGGGATATGGCTCATTAGATATGTCACGACCAAATAGCAGTGATTGGATAAATAAAATAAGTACCCACCTACCGTCGAGCAAACACATTCTAATGCTATGAGGTCAGACAGTTTCCATGAAGTGAAACCGGCTGATGAATCATTCTACTTTAGTTGTGCATTTTGCATTCAAGTTTGTTGTGTGTTCTCTCCCATAACTAAATTACTAAATTTTAGCCCATCTGATGATTTTGGTATGATACAAAAAAAACGACTGATCTGTTGGTGCAGATTTGCAGGCATGTTTGCTAGTCAGGCCCAATGCTGCAGTGGCTATAAAAGCTCTGAGACTTCTAAAGTGACTCCAGAAGAGATTTCAAAACAGACTCAAAACACCAGATATTGAAGAGGGAGTATTTTACTTAAGTGGGGCA